TCAAGAACACAGGCACATTTCTTGACGTAAAGCACCGTTGACTGCTCTGACAGAAATCCACTATTCACTTAGATTTTTGTCATGTTTGTGAGTACTTTTGGTATCCTCCATTCAACTGTCTTTTTTTTTTCTTTTCAGTTTTTTTCTTTCATTTTTTTCTTTTTTGGACAGGGAAGCTTCCTATTGTTTCACAGAGTGCTACAATACTTGCTTTGATGTCACATTAAACAAATGTACATTGTCTCTTTGTTCTCATTAAGTGTTCTTTTGAGCCAGTTTTTTCACATAGGAGAACAAATAAAATATACAGTCAATGAGCACCATACATAGTAGGTTCAGGAATGTAACAAACCATGTACATCCATGTCCCAGAGAGAAGTTTTTTTTCTAGCTTATTTTCACCTTACATCTGCAGGAGAGAAAAAAGATACAATAACTCTATGATTAGAATCAAAGGTCCTATCCTCTAAGATGACTTTAAAAAAAAAACTGTTCTGCATGAAGAGTCACTAACCTGGGACAAGAAGTTCTAAATGCTGTTTTGATTGAGTTTACATGCTCACTTTTAAAGTTGAATTTTACCAAATCTTTGCTTCTAGCATACTACTCCCAATAAATACCTGTTAATCTGAAACAGGATATCAAGTTTAGCATTCTTTAGAAAAAAATACATCAGCATAAATGCAAACTGCCATTGGGAGTTTATGTGCAAAAACAGGTACTTCAAATTAAAATCACCATCATCCAGGAGTTAGGCACATACACTGCAAAATCCAAATCATTCCCACTCCAAACACTAGAATCAACTACAGCTGCTGTAGCTTACATTATTTTGGGTCATTAAGAAATGGCAACTCCATAAGTGATTTGGAAGGTGTATCGCCGTGATCATACATTGCTAATTCACTGCCAAAGGATTTTAGTCATTTTTGCATTATGAGATTATCAGTTTTTCACTGCCCTGAGATCCTCATTAATTTTAATGACCATTATCATCTTTTTGAGACTGAACAAAGCAAAACAAAGCAAAGGAAGATCTTAGTTTCCTGGTATAAATAACACAAGCCCTGCTACACAAAAATGCTATCTCTGAGCATCGTCCTTGTTTGGTAGGCAGATTGTCAGCTCATTTCAGCTGCATGTAACATCAATCCCAGTTCATGCCAAAACACAGGTTTGATGGTCATGCATGTAGTATTTACCATATGTACACTCAATGTTTTACAGCCAACGACGGGGAACAAAATGATTTGTAATCTGGCAATTCATTCATGCATTATTATGTGATGCTTTGACCTCACAAATCAATAACAATGACACAAAAGCAGAGGCGATGGAACTGGAGATTTCAGAAGCTGAAGTATTAGCGACCTCCAAAAACAAAAAAAAAGAACAAAAAAATAGCAAGAAAAGGAAGTAGCTCGAGAATGTAAGATGCTGATGGTGATGTGGAGCTTAAAGGAAAAATACCAGCAGGTAGAATTATCAAAGCCAATCAGATCTAATCTCTTTGCAGCCTTGAGGTAGCAAGTGTCAAGATTTTGAACAGTGATTAAGTTGAAGTGATGATATTTGATTAAGTTTTCCATTACTTGTGCTATTAGGGTGTTCAGCATATAGGTCCTACCTGAATATCAAATAGTTCCAGTAGGTTTTATGTTGGTTTTAACTTTTTTCGTTTCCGTTTTTTACCTGATTCCCTAGGCCTTCCTGTTAACATAAGGGCAGGGCTGGTAAAAAGCCCTCAGGTAATGCATTTTGTTGAACACTGAAGTAATAAATACTCAAACCGTTTACATTTCAAAGAAACCTCATTATCCTCTGCATTAAAGTAATAACTTTATGACTTCTGATTTGACATTCTGTTTACAAAGTAATTATACAAAAGTAAAAAAATAATAAAGTTTGCATTGCATACGTCATTTCCAAGACCCACCATAAAAACTGTTGCCATATTGTATTCAGAATTTGCTTTCAGCTCTGCAGTTTAGCTCACCATCCATTTGCTGTTCCTATCAATAACGAAATCCCACAAAATTGTATTCTTTCATTACACACCGTTTTAACACACGCCAAAAAGAACAGTTTTCAGCTTAAATTCTCAGCTGTTTAGTCTTTAGCTATTAAAGACTTTTTGAAAAACTGAAATTGAGCTCATGATTTTTTTTTCCTAGTACAAGACATAGAAAGAATATCAAACCATATACAAAAGAATATCACTTTTAATGTGTTTTTGTCTACCCATAATTCAGTCTAGTTTGAAGTAAACACTCATTATAAATTGATGTCTGATAAGAATCACAGCAGAGGCCTAACTTTGCTTTTATACAAGTTCTAATTTTTCTGCTCTGTATGTAGCAATTGTAGCTGGCACTTGCTCAGATCAGATTTGTGTGTCACTGTTGCATGGAAGCTATTCAAAAAAAATCCTCCTTACACAGCCACCTATGAAACCTATCACCTTTGGGTAGCCTTCCTCCTATATTGACCTGATCTACAGTGGGTTTTATTCTGGAGTTGGATCTACTGCATCCATAAAAGCCTGTGTTGGTGACAGCAAATTTTTGAGCCTGCCTCCAGCCAAAACTGAGAGGATGGGAGCAGCCCCTTCTGCTGTCGTGGTTATCCAGCATCCCTCTCGAGTCCTGTGTTGATGGCACTCTAGCATGAAGATCTGAGGCCAAGATTTTAGGTGGCTTTATGAAAGTCACGTTGAAAATAAGCGTTCTTCCCCATAAATCTACCCCTATGGTGATTTAAATGCTGTCCTGGTAAGGCAAAAATGTTTAATGTGACAACTCACAAGCAATGCTGGCCTATACAGGAGTAGGAAGACACAGGGAACAGGCACGGTTGTTTCTAAACTTCTTAGTTCTGAACACAGAAGTTATTCCTCAGTGTTTTGTATTCATTTCAAGGCTATTTTCCCCAAGGTCAAGTAAATCTCAGCTTTAGCCCTGTCTCTACAAAGTCAAAGAAATTAGGCAATAGAGTCCACCGACTGCAACAGGACAACCTTTAGCTTAGTTATGCAAGATTTGAATAATATTGGGCGTTTACTTTTATTTAAAGGTTAGCCTAATGAGAACTGATACAATTTACACTTTTAATCCAAACTCTTTCTACAGCACAAATCCTCCCTTAATTTTGCATCTTCAACACACAGAGAAGCAGCTGGGAGCTTTTCCACTGAGTTCACTGGAAGCAAAGTTTGCTTTACATTCTTTACTAATATAAAAACAAGGTCCATAAGAAATAAGCATGAATACAAAAATAAAAGGAAAACATACCAGTTTCTTCTTCTCTATAATCTGAATTAGTATTTGATGATGTACAGGTGCATTCCATATGCTCTTCTAATCTCACCAGAACTTCTTTTAATTTTGGCTTTTTTCTAACATATTCCACTTTTGCCACCTATAAAATACGATGAGGTACGTACTGAAACACAGTAGCATAGTTCAGGATTGAACACAGGTAAATATATACCTGTATATACCTGAAGCCAAACCCATATAAAACGTTAGCATACTAATCACCTTTTATCTTAATTGCGCATCGTGTAACTATTTATTGCACAGAATATTTGTTCATCCAAATTCAGCAGTTTGAAACAATCTTCCCCCTAGAGATAAAACAATTTCCCATTCATGTGGGTTTTACAGTTCTAAGCAACTCAGTTTTCACATATATCAGAACCAACTTTTATATATGCATTCATATCAGTGTTTGTTCTGTACATTATCAATTCTGGCATGGTACGTGTTGACCAACAAACGTCAGCTGAAGGCGAACAGTGAAGGTTTTGGGTTGGTTTGCAAGGTATTTTTTAATTTCCAAATTGGTGTTTGCAGAGTCCTTTGAACATAAAGTGCCCACTCTTCAGAGAAACAGAATCTGAAAATCATCTTTAAAAGCAGCACTCTCAATCCTAGCAGCTCCTTGCTGTAACCTGCGGCTCATTTACGAGAGCTCCCATGCACTGACACTACAGCCGGGGAACCACTGCCCACGGGCTGTACCCATCCCTTGGCACAGCTATAGGTACATGTATAGACAGGCACAGCACTGCGCTCTGCTCTGTCCAGTGGCACTGCTCCATGTCATGTCTCAGCACTGGCATCCCTAAGGAAGCCTTCCTTAAGGAAAGATGCCAGAGGGCAAGGAGAGGTCGGAGGAAGCAGCAAGCTGGAGAAGCTGTGGCCACAAGCCAGCCTGGCATCTGAAGGAGATCAAGGTAGAAGGGAAGTGCGTTGGGGAGCACTGAACGTGAGGACAACCCGACCGACCTGGCACGGCAGGCTGGGCACGAGGCACCGTGCGGGGCAGGAACACTGCCGTGCTGGGACACGGAGACGGGACACTGAGTGGTGCCAGGTGTCACAGGCGTGATGGCCATGGCATGTTGTGCAAGGACATAATACAGGAGAAGCCAGTGCTGCGCTGGGTGTAAGGGGTTCGAGGCTTAGTTGACAATTGTGTTTAAACACTGCACGAACAGGCGGTAACCATTAGCGTAGCTGGCATGGATTATTTCTAGCCCAGGAGGACAACCCAGGTGACACATGTTTTAACTGGCTTCATTCACTCTGGTTATTCTACCCTGACCCAGCCAGGCCAACCTACAGCTGCGATGGAAACCTAGGATAAACCTAAGTGGTACTAGACGCACCTACTACTATCAGGCATTAACACCAATAGAGAACATCTCATCCAAAAGGAACATGTGAGTTGTTGTTCTTGAAATCATGGCTTTTCAACCCTACTAATTATGGATCTGCCATGTGTCACAATGAACAAGACAACCACATAATACAGGTATGTATTACAGTATACAAGTGAGGAAGAGGAAGGAGAGCAAGGAGACGAGAGGCTGGCTCGCTCTGAAGAAATCAAATGACAGAGCCACGAAGTCCAATGAGTGCAACAGCAAAATCTCCGGTCACTACCAAACAACCGAAGCATTCACAGTTACACTAGGCTCTCCTGGTAATAGTTTACTAGCATGTTTGGTGGAATTTTTAATGCTCCAAATCATTTTCAAACTATGAAAATACCATTCCCTGGTCTTTCCAAAGGTGGAAGAACAATGTCACAAAATGAGCGTGGTGGCTGGGAAAAAAAAAATCACATTCCCTGTTCCCAGAAACTCTTTTGAATCTTGGACACAAACTGTTGGGGACCTATGAATGACAGTAACAGAAGTTAGAGTGAAATCTTGGCCTTATTAAAAGTCTATGGGAGATCTGCCACTGCTTTCATGGACTTCAAATCCACATTTTAGTCACAGGATCTGAAGACTATTTGCATTTATTCAGCAAACGAAGTTGAACAGAGAAAGATACAATAATTAAAATGGCCTCATTAAAGATGTTGAAGTTGAACAGAGAAAGATACAATTGCAAGATAATTAAAATGGCCTCATTAAAGATGTTTTCCAAAAGTATCACTTCTCTGTATAAAAAGATTAAGAGCTGTCCCTGACATATAAGAATGCTTTTGCTGAAAGATTAAGTATAGGTCAAAGCAATATGTTTCAAAATCTTCTATCTAAAAACCCAACTCCATCAAGCCTTTGAATACAAAGATTTGAAAATGCATGGTTGGTCTGAGTCATGCCGCATCAAAGGATGAGTAATCCCTAAAATTTACAAAAACAAACAGTAATTAAGACACCTCCATCACCAGATACAAAGAAAGAGACCCAGCAATCATGAAACAGCTTTGATATCTGCCATGCTTATTACAACTGTCGGAATAAACCAGCCCTGATGGAAATTACATGCAACAAAAATAAACTGTCATAAAACTCTTTAGAGTCAATCCCTGTTTTGGTTTTTCAAATTCAAAGGTAGTTCCTGTTGCTATTTGGTACTAAATAACAGTAAATACCAAGGAGGTGATGCTTTGAAGAATGAATGCAGGCAGGCAATTAGAAGATCTGCTTTTTACTGTACTATAGCTAAAACATAATGCAACATACTTCAGGCTACAAAGAAAGATGTTTTGCAACATGCTGTAAATGGTCAAACTGAAGCAACACACAACAGAGTTGAATTATTGTGTTTGTGTCACATCCTAACACCTGCAGCTACACAGGATCTGCAATTTATGCTAATCTAAAATGAAAAAGGTTGCAAGTCTGATCTTCAGTGGTTATAAACAGGGATAGCAATGCTAATAGCATGGAATTTGGCCTTGTATCAGCACTTTTTTTTTCCTTATTCATTGTGTTTTTCTCCCTGGTGTTTTTCTGGGACAATTATTGTTACGTGTGTTACTTATTGCTTTAAGGTTATCACATCTAGACAAACTACTCATGTCAGCATCAACTTCTTCAGCTTATCTCTAATGGAACAAAACTAAAAACTGTGACAACCCTGAACACCTCTAAAACTGCTGAATTCTATAAAAACTCAGTGTGGTGCTGTCACTGCCCTGCCTGGCAGGGTGTGCGCAACCCTGTCAGAGCTCAGGGGGTTGTGCATAACCTTGTCACTGTTCTGAGGGTTGTGCACAGCCCTGTCACTGCTCCAAGGGTTGCTCACAGCCCTATCAGGGCTCAGGGGTTGTGCACAGCCCTGTCACTGCCCCAGGGGTTGTGCACAGCCCTGTCAGGGCTCAGGGGTTGTGCACAGCCCTGTCACTGCTCCAGGGGTTGTTCACAGACCTGTCAGGGCTCAGGGGTTGTTGCACAGCCCTGTCACTGCTCCAGGGGTTGTGCGCAGTCCCTGTCACTAATCCAGGGTTGTACACAGCCCTGTCAGGGCTCAGAGGTTGTTGCACAGCCCTGTCACTGCCCCAGGGGTTGTGCGCAGCCCCTGTCACTAACCCAGGTGTTTTTCACAGCCCTGTCACCGCTCCAGGGGTTGTTCACAGCCCTGTCAGGGCTCAGGGGTTGTGCGCAGCCCCTGTCACGGCTCAGAGGTTGTCCACAGCCCTGTCACTGCTCAGGGGGGACTGACGATCCCGTCCCAGCCCCACGGAGGTCCCGCCAGGGCCCCGGGGCTGCGCGCGCCGCCCCCGAGCCCGCGGCGGTTGGTGCGCGGCGGCGCGCTGCCCTCCGAGCGGCCCTTGGGGGCCTCTCAGGCGCCTCTCCCCCAAGGAGGGGCCGCCAGGCCCTGTCCCTGCAAGGGGAGGTGTGAAGGGCCATGGCGCCCGCTGCAGACCCTGCCCTGGCCGCCTCAGGGCACTCCTCTGGGGCTCGATCTCCCCATGGCCCCACCTGGATCAGAGCTTCCCCCATTCGTCCTATTCTTAGTTTTATCTTTCATATTATCTACCAGCTGTCCCTGCCCAGGAGGCCTGACTACCTGCAGGTAGTAGCCTGCAACTAAATCATAGCTAAAAGGTGCTGTTTAATCCATTGCTAGAAATGGAATCATAGAGGAAAAATAGTTTTAAGACATTAGTGCCATTTTACCTGCACACACAATTTCTGACACAAGATCTCAACCTCCTCAGATAACTGTTGCCAAACAACTCATTCTGCCTTCCTCCATTTTTGCCCATTTCTCTTCTTAATCCATCACTTGACAACCTTCAAATGATTGCTAAGGACTAGCTTTTCAGTCTTTTCCTTCCTTTCCAGTTCATTTTCTCTCAGTATTTCCCTCCTATTTATTTAGCCCATGTTAAACACCCCCAAATCAGCTAACATACCACATTCAGAAATGGTAATAACTGGTACAGCTACGGCCTAAGGCCAAGCAGAAGGTAAACCAGAGGTAGATAAAATGATTTAGCTATTCTCAGTTTGAAAATGAATATTGCTGCCAACAACTGTAACACTCAGCTTGCCTATTGAAAAACTGCAGTATAGACATGATATGCTCCATAATATTAACCATTTTCTGCCTTGATCAAAAAGGCTGAGAACATTGTGTTCGACATTATCAAAAACCTCCTGCAAAGACTCAGGTCAGCACCACCCCAAACAAACGAATGGTCTAGGACTTGGTAAAGATAAATTCTTGATCTCACAGTGCAGAAGCAACCAAAACTATGAAAGTTACTGAAACACTTTTGCAGAGAGGAAATGTATCTGTAAATGAAACCAACACTCCTACTCACTAGTCCATGACACCCTTTCTCCATCACAAGGACAGAAATGCAATACCTTCCTTCCTACCAAAGAGCAATTCCCAAGCAGCTGTTGGGTACAGATCAGGCTGTATCCCCACGGGCTCACCATGCTGTAATGCAGAGGAACCTGCGTTTTATGAATGTCCCTCATGAAGGGGAATCTCAGAAGTCCCATGTTAGGGGAGTTCTGTCACCAGCACCACTGGTTGGGGCCTCCCTGCAGCTACAGTTACCCAAGCCCGTTTTCGGCACACCAGCACCTGAGCAGGCTCAGTGAAAGCAAGGGAGGGCATCCCTCAAGGATGCCTTTGAATCAGGTCCCCAAGAAAGGCATGTTCCAATGAAGCACCGTCGCTGCTCCCACCCCTCTGGACCGGCTGTTGCTCTTAACCTTGGCCACAATGGCCCTCAGTAAGACAAAGAAAACACCCTTTGCTTCAGCCCCTTAGATGATGCAAACCCACTTGCTGACCTTTCTGGGTGAACATTTTTCCTAGTGTGAATGGGCCAGCTATGATCTCACTACCTTGTCAATGAAGAGGAAGTGGGGAAAGCCTTTTCAATGTGGAATCAAAAGAGGGCTTTTATGCAGTCTGACATCAGGGGGAAACACAAGGGCTTTCCAGCCGCACGGCAGGAACAGCCCAGAAGGCTCTCCAAAACCGCTCCCCCTACCTTTCCAGCGACCCTCGCTCTGGGCCAGCTACTTAATGGCATGAGCAGACATTCAGCTCTGAACATAGGCTTGGCGAAAGGCTCATAAAACCATCAATTATATCAAAGTTACAAGAGGATCTGACTCTGGAGGGCATAAATATGGATTCTGTTCAGAGATTTCTGGTGTGACAGTGGGGTCAGCATACAACCTTTACAATGAACATCCTGTTCCTGCTTGACCCCTTGTCCTTTTTTTCCCTTGTACTTAATGACTCTTTGGAGCAGTCTTGGAGCTTGGAAAAAAACAACAACAAAAAAGGTCCTCCAAAGCTGGCTGACGTATAATGATATTGCTGGTGGCAATATATTTACACAGCCACAAAAAGCAGCTGCTCAGCTGAGCCTACTTTTAGCTTGCGCCCTATTAAAATGAATGCAAATCTGAAAGCGCTAAAACCGTATCCACAGCCTGAACGAGAAACTGAGATTTCAGCACAGCACTAGGCTGGGGAAGCAGCCCCAGAAACGATGTCCCTGCAAAGCTGCTGCCAGCAGAGTTTCCAAGTGGGGATTTTAGGGTGCATGGGGTGCCCTGGCAGCAGAGGCCTCAGCCAAGTCTCTCCTTTCTGTCTCTCCCCATCACTGCTGGGGTAGGTAACAGGCACAAAGCTGTTCTGGGGCACACGACCCCAGCACACAAGCTCATTATACACAGGACAACTCTTCGCTAGACACCTTTGTACGTATTAGCTGCTATACAAAAGTAATTGGAAGTGGTATCAAACATACAGGTAATAGCACCACATATTACAGTTTTGGTCCAGGAGGCACTTTCCTGTTACGCTCCTATTCTAAATGGCTTACAGCTGTAAGGCAGCAACTCGCCCAGCTTGTTCTCAGCTCTCAGTTAATTAAACTGATGCCATTTTTTTCCCTCATTTTTAATTGTTTCTGCAAAGCGTACCAAAGAAATGGCGACAAGCGAATGTAAAGGATAATTATTTTTGGAAAGACTAAGGAAATGTGTTCAGATATTTCTCCGTCTTATTTGAGTGTGAAAATGCTTTTCATACACTTGGGAAAATAAAAAAGGAAAAAGAATAAGGTGTCCTGCTCAGATGTGTGACTGTGCAGGAGAAGCAGTGACCTGGCTCAGGTGTCACACTCACTGTTCAGAGCATACAGTGCTACATGGGTTAACGGCTCCTTTCTTTAGAAATCCACTGCAAGTACAGTGATCAGTGTGCTGTGCTGGGCCATTTTATGTTCAAGAATGTTATTTTTTAAAATAAATTCTGCTCTTAAAATACTCAAAGCAACGTGAATTCATAGGTTTAACTATAAATCATTACCGTAACTCTAATCTCCTGCACATAGATGTAAATCAACTTTACTTGTTTAAACACTGATAAAAATTAGAACACAGTGAAGCCCGATGAACATAGAAATATTTCACATAATATTTACTGGAAAATTGCAACAGGGAGAAATAGATTTTTTTCTAATGATTAAGTACAGCATGAAGCCGTTGAGTCTTCTATCCCTGGGGTAAGATAATTTGAAACACATTTTTTCAGATCAAAAGTGTTATGTTGTCAAATATAAAAGCCCAATTTAGGCTGCATAATATTTAATTAAGAAAGCAGCGTTCCATACTGTGATTTATTTTTTTTTAGTCCAGTGCCCCTTGAGTCATTTTATCTCCTTAACTTCAAGTTCTGTTCTGTGCAAGATCATGGGAAACACAGAACCAACTTCATTTTCCTCACAGAAGATGAAAACCTAAAGGGAATCAAATCCAAACCAAACATTTTCCAATAATCGTGCAATTTGAAAAGCTCCCACAGAGTGAAGAGGAGCAGCTGTCTGATGCACTTGCTACGAGGATGGACAACAACGATCAGGTAACACAGGGCAGCCACAAGAACACCCGAAGCTCCTGTGCTTCAGGGAAGCCCCTTGGGGTCCCGCCGTCACCGTGTGCTCACCTTGACGCTTCTGTGGTGTATCCGTGAGGGCTGACATTTCACACTGCTGGTGTTGCAGCAGCCCGTGCAACGTTTCACCTCCACGCAGGGCGGCCATATCAGGAAGTTGGCGGAGGTGGGATCGATCTGACTCCGAGGTATCTCGTATATAACCGTCCGTGTTTTGCAGACAGCCGGGATGGCTTCCTCTGCAAGCAGAAGAAATTCACACTTGCAGGTGAACAGCTGCTCTCACCTCAGAGCACCCCGATACTTTACACCACCAATGTGTGACTGGCACCCTTAGCGGGCGTTTTGAGACAGGGCTCTCACTTCCCGTTGCTTACTCATAATTCGTGCTAAGTCCTGCTTGCCTGCCCTGTCCTAAACTCTGTGTGCTGCCCCAGAGAGGAGCCTGGGCCACTCCAAAAGACCCTGTGCTAAAAGGAGGGTTTCCAAAGCTCTAAGTCCCAGCACAACTCGGAGCACACTCCGCCTGATCAGGCAGCGCTGGCTCTTCAGGACTCGCAGCAAGCCAGGGGCTTCTCCAAATTAGACGCTCCTCCAATACGGTTTCATAGCCAGTGCTCAACAGCAGCTGTTATTTTACAATATTGGGGCTATCATTGCATATAGATACTGTCACACAAATGTGCAACACATTGCAGATACCACCACAGAAGTTGCACTGAGAATATTTATCTCACACCCAAATTGGCTGAGCTGGGAAACCACCTGCGCCAGCTTGAAATTTCTGAGTTCTGGGTTTCCACTTCCACAACCTTAGCATCCCTGTACCAGGGAGCTGGCTCCATCCACTATCCCAAATGGCAACTGCTCTTCTTTCTCAATGAAATTATCAAAGCTTTGTATGTGTTGGATTTTGTTTGACTTGTTATTTTTTAATAAGGCAAAAATCACAAAAGTAGCATGAAGGAAAGAACTTGCAATGTAATTTCTAATTAAACCAGTATTTTGCTGGGCCCAGGTAAGGTGAGCTTGTAGACAGCCAAACACATGAGGATCAAAAAGGAATCACTGTGTGCTATGATGCTGCCATGAGAAATCCAAACTGTTTACCTTCTTCAACCAAGGGACTGCCCAAGAAGCAAAGCTGATTAATTCAAAGGAAACATAGTCCACAAAATACTAGCAATATCAGGGATAACTTGTTCAATAAGTTATCTGAAGGCAGCTTAGGGTATTTTTGGCTTTTCAGTGGAAGCAGTGATAGCTTTGGAGTAGATGGGGCAGGGAACTAGGGCACTGCCTGCACTTCTTCAGCAACTTCTGCCGTATAAGAAATTGAGGCCTGGCCTGAAAATCTGGGCTTGGCTTTGGGAAAGAGACATTTTGGTGGGCTAAACAGAAGTTCTTCTCAATCCCCAGCACTGCAAACTCCACAAAATGAGAGCATCCAACACTGCAAGCTGGCTGACAGCTCCGGCAAGTTATTGGGCATATCCTATTCCCCTGACTTTTATGGGGAGGAATCGAGCAGCTCGCAGAGAAAGGGGCCAAGCGCAGCAGACTCTGCTTGGGGAGCGCTGCTCTCCAGAAGCGCCCAGTGCGCCCCGTGCACGCGCCAGCTCACGCTGCAGACCTGCGGTGACAGCAGCCGCGCTGCCTGCAGCCACAGCCCAAAGGGAAGATACAGCCACTCCGGGTTCCCTATAGCAGCCAACACGGCTGTTCATGGCACGGAGGTTTCTGCAGACGAGCGGAATGGCAGAGGGATCAGATCCAATCAGATGAACAAGCAGGGCATAAAAATCCCAATCTAAAATCCATTGACATCTCTTTAATTTTGTATTTGGGCTTTGCTGGATCATCATTAGTGTTTTTTAAAGAAAAAAAATCCCTTGTAAACATGCCTGGTGCCTTATTAACGATGAAAACCAATGCCCCAGCACTTCCGTCAATGCTTTTAATTTTTTGAATAAACTCTCTTTGTTGCTTTTATTTTTCTTTCAAATAAAGAGTCAAGCTGTTTCCTTTTGTACAGCTTCTGTACTGAAAACTCTACCAACTGTTGATGTTTTTTAAAGCACACTGCTGTAGTTGTTCCCCACACTATGAATTATACATTGAATATCACAGCATTTTCTAACGAAGGTCTAACTTCCTAACATGCTGCAACAAGAAGCTGAATGTAAAGAATTTGTGCTCGCCTGTCTCCTATGGACATCCTCCAGCAGATAGCTTCTCAGGCAACGCTCATTTTGTGCACACAAAAAGGCAGCAACTAGAAATGGCCTTTTTCCTTTGTGCGTGTCGCATTTTTCCAGTGAAACGTCCTGCTTGGCTGACCAAAAGCACCCCTCTGTTTTTACTCTCTGTACGAATAGCTTGTTTCTTACCAATGCTTCTTTTTCTGCGAATGGGCACAGGACGATTCTCTTGCACATGTTTAGCAGAATGAACACTGTAAGATCTCAAGTTTGTTTCTGAAATGTCCTCATACCCTAAAACAGGAAACAAAATATTAAACCTCAGCTATGTTATAAGCATCACTGTCACTTCAGTGCTGTTCCATACACATAAATGTGTTGTTTATATGCAGAAGACCAAATTCTGTTGTAATTAGTCTAATGTAACTCCTGCCAGTGCAAATGTAAGGGCATAAAGCAGAGAAGACATTAACATTGAATGTCATATATAAGCATGCACAGTTTAACTCTAATATCCATTTTACTGAAAGCCCCCCAAAACAGCGCCTACTCTGCAACACAGACAAGACAGCTGCATTTTCATGTAAAAAAATAAAACACATAATAAAACCTTTCTTATGGGAAATGTACAGAAATCAGAACAACAATATGTCACTTAAAATGTTTCTTAGAAGAAGTTTCTTGAACTTCTGGCATGAGACTACAGTACAAAATACCGTATTACACACCCAGCAGCAACAATACTGCTTCTGTAAATTTTCTCTTGCCTGCTTTTAAGGACAATACCAGGACAGAATCAAAAGTGAAAAGTAACTAGCATGGCTTTCCTTTTAGCCTCTCTGTAGCAGAACAAATCCCCTGTGAAGTATCCTAACCTTTGGAGGGGCATCTGAAGCTACTGCAAACTCTGGGCCGGCATCCAGGCTTGTCTTGTTCCCTAAATAAGCCTACCACATGGGTTAAAGGGCCATGAGAAAAAGCAAGGATGGAAAACTTGGCATTTCATTTATCATAGAAAACAACAAAATAACTGCTCCAACTATTTGGTTTTGTTAAGTGAAGCAGTCCAGGTCGTGTCCCCTGCAGTGGGGCTCTGAAAGCAGCAGCGCAATCTGCAAACAGCATCAGGAAGACAGAAGTAAACTGGGCACCGCCTATAGACTCCAGCACAGCTGAACGTGGATTTCTAGCACTCCGCTGCCTGAAGGCCCCTCTGTAACATCACTGCAGGGCTTCAGAGTTTCCCTGCTGGCTCCAAAGCAAGCTGTGATATACCTAAGAAAATGGAAATGATTACACAATAACCAATCACCCTGCCCACGTGCTACCTACATCTCATAGTCCTCTCTCGCGCTGCTTTTAACCCCGCCAACACTACCTGCTCCCAGGATGCACGGTTCGAAATATGCCCTGGTGACTTTGCTCAGCTTTGCTAATAACACAAAGGGTTTGGGCCTGCTCTGAGAACAAACTACCTCCTTTCCTCCTCGCTCCAAGGAAAGCTGCCCAAAAGAGCGGGCAACCAGCGGAGTAACCTCTGGAGCCTGGAAAGACGTAACAGCAAGAACGAGCTCTGTGCTGCGAGGGGAATCTTTGCTCTTCGGAAAAGGATGTCCTAGGCAGTTAAGAGAAGATGAAATGGGAGATCCATGAGACAGTGCCAGGCGCACCCATTGGTCCATCCTATTTTCCTCATCAGTAAAACAGATTGATGTCTGAAATAAGTGAAATCTAGGGTCTCAACTCACTGTGACAAGCAGGCCCCTAATACCTACACAGAATTCTTGTTTCCCACTGATTTTCATGGGAAATTTTCAACCTGACTGGTTAGCTGACCAGGGACCTTATTTGCAGTCCCCCATCCTGTAAGGTTTGAGCACAGCAATGACTAATGGATGTTATTTCTGCTTTTATTTTGCCCCGCGCTCCAGCAAACTGATCAGTGGGATAAACAAGAGGGCCTGTCTGCGATCCTGCAGGAAGTGTGCAGCTGAGCTGGGGGCCGGAGCCAGGCCTCCAGCATCCCCTTACGATGGCACCAGGCCATCCACCTGACCCTGGCTGGTGCCCTGCAAAACGAGGATCCGTTCTGATCTTCTTCCAGCCCTCTCCTGCTTCCTCATGCTCAGCCGCCCGGCACCTTCACACCAACCTCCCTTCTGGCAAGCTCAGCTCGCCGCAGCCCTTCCCTCGTTTCGAGGCAATGAAGTGATGCTCACAGGAAAGCAGCACGAGTTTTGCTCCATGTAAGACCCAAGCCAGGCTCTGAGCAACAAGTGCACGCAAACAGGGTAAAAAAGGAAAAGATTAAGTGTAAAATTAATGCCTTTAATCCTAGCTGCTTGGTGGGCACAGCCATCTAGCTGAAAAGAGAAACCGCCGCTGGTGCCAGCTGCACAGAGCTCGAGCCACAGGTCCTAATCCCGTATCCAACACGCTGGCATAGCTCCCTTTTAACGTGACTGATTCCATGCTGTCTTGTTTAGAGAAACTGGTAAGACCAAAGGAATAGTATGATTAGCTAACCAATATGTTAAGCCATGTGCTTATATATAACTGCTCAACTTAGCCGCAATTAGGCACATTCTATCATCGTGTTTATAAAGCAAAGTGACATGTCGGGGAGCATGTGTTGCTTATAAGACAATTTCTAAGGTGAGGAAGGCCTCTGGCTCATACTGTGTTTTGCTGTCTCGCTACATATCTTAGGCATGTATATTATTTCATAGGTTCATGTCCTGTTGCAGATGGGGATTTCTTAGGTTAAAAAAAAAAGAGATCTACACAGCTAGCGCAGCAGACTGCAAAACAAGTTCCAGTGAAACCTCAATGCATTATGCAACACAAATTCTATTTCTCTGCTGCCAAAGCATTGATTTTTTTTTGTAATAAACAGCACTACAGAGCATGTGGCTGGTGTCAACCAACTGCTGTAATGCTGAGGGCACTTGGTCTCTCCTTGATCCCCACGGGCATTTGAAAGTAATTCCATGTCCCACTGAAGTCATTGGAAAAGTCATTGGACTTAAGAGGTCTTCAAGTCAACATGAGTCTTGCCCAAGCAGGGCTGCAAAATCAGAAAGTCTAGCAAAATTTCACACGTCACTCTGGATGCGTGGCCCAAAGACCTTCTATTTGAATTAGTTCAAACAGGGATGCTACAATAATCACAACTTGCTCTCCCTAGCCTGACTTTACAGAGGCCTGATACGATCTGGCAACAACATTCCCCAATGAATCATGCCAGAATTTGCACCCGTTTTCTGATACACTGGCTATGAAGTTGCAGGATGAGCTCTCAGTGCTTAGCGAGGAAAACGGGAGTTTATGGGTGCTTAGCACCTTACAAAGAGAGGCTTGAAGCAGAAAGCTTAGAAACGGATGGTTCTCAGTTTAGAAATCCAACGCTGCTTGTCACTAAGCGAAGATGGAGGATGCTGCACTGAGCCAGATTAATGCAGCTCTCTTTTAACATTTTAATAATAAAAAATGCTTTCATGGCAGATGATCAAGAAATCTCTCTGTAATCTTTTCTTTACTGACAACATTTCAATGATGGGTAGAAAACTCTCGCAATTAGCCTTGGTCAATCCATTAATGTAGCTGAAATTGTTCTTTTTTGTTGGATTGGCATTTTTCCACTAGGTCATGGTGTAGCTAATATATAAATCACACAGTTCTGTGACATCCTGCCAATGTGGTTACTGGTCTCCTAAATAAGCATGTGGAAAGCATTCGAAGACTACTGTTATTTCACATTCATAGCCTTGTATTTCCACATTGCCATCTCTTTTCCAAACAAATCTTATGTATAGGTACAATCCTAAATACAATGCAACTTTAGCACGCACCCTTCCTCATGTCACTTTGATGAGCACCCAGAAAGTGTCGGTCCAAACCTTCTAGTGCCACCAGCAGCAGCTTAGGAAATTCTCATTATCTCTTTCATGAATTCAGAGTAAGGTGCAATAAACCGAAATGGTCTGTCTTGCAAATCGGTCCTAGAGCCAGAAAGCCCAAGGCAACGTCAATCTGTTTGTTTGATCTCCTTTCTGGCTGATGCAAAATATGCCCTTCTGACATCCAAATGCAGAGATAGATGTCATTAAGTTTCCAACTTTGATCTGTTAAAGGAAATATAAGTAGCAGCCTGCAAGATCCTGTTCTGTTGAGGCCTTTTTTCCCCTCGCTCACGCAGACATGATCAACCAGCTATAAAGAAGGAGCATTCCCTATACGCGCCCTGGGGAAGCGCCAGGCACATGGTAGGTGTCCGCCTGTCAGGAAGTCTCGGGGTACAGAAGAGTTCAGCACATTCTATCATAACGTCTTTAATTTGAGCCCCACACCAAAAAATAAACCAACCCTAGGTCAACAGCAGGTTTTTCCAATGGACTGAGGCCTGGGATGCAATGACCTAACACTTTCCATAAAGGTACGCTGTTAATTTAGAAGGTATCTCCGCTTAGCACAAGCTGCCCTGCTAGTTCTTAATCACAGGCCGTTAAATTCACATGGCCTAAGGTGACCCTGCGGTTGGTGCCCTTAAACCACGCAAGGCAGCACACAGAGCCCTGCACTTCCCCACGCAGGGAGCCGGCGGGGGGAAAGTCTGTTCCCAGCGGGAGGCAACATAATAGGTGATGAAATGAACGCTACCTCCCACGGGACACATGGGAGAGGTGAAGCACGAGGAGAAAAACCACGCGGCGAAGCCAAGGCAGAACTTCACAGGCGGAATAAAGGAAGTGCCCCCGTTTCAGGGAGTCGGTCTGCTAGTAGTAAAACTGTGTACTCCGCACGCGGCAGCTGCCGGCTTCCCGGGACCAGGAAAACGCTGTTTTCCACAGGGTCAGACCCGGCTCCCCGTCACGCTGCCCGCCGTGCAGAGCGGCCGCAGCACATTGAGCACCGGCCCTGCTGCCCTCGCCGGGGCTGCGCACGGGATCGGACACGCGGCGCCGGCTCTCACAAACTGGCCTGGATTCTCCGCATTGAAAACAATGATAAGCTCCATGTTGGGGAGTGTTTTTCTTTAAGTAATATGCCAGATGGTCTGGGGGTGTGGTTTCTAATTTTATGAAGGGGGTTATCAGTCATCTCTGCGCTACAATATAGCGACCAAATCTGTCAGAATACAAGAAAAACCTGCCCACTCTGACTTAGAGAACTTACTTTTCCAATTAAAAATATATACTTTGCATTGCAGGAGAGAAACTGGCTGTTCTCCCTTCATTTTCCACAGATTCTGCCTTGTTACTTGAGAATATCAGACATTTTCTGCATGCATGCCTGATCCTGCAAACTCTTCCCCTACAAGATCATTCTTAATTCCTGGGTCCACCCACTGAGTTGAAGCAGGGCTACTCACATGCACAAGGACTGGCAACATCGGGACTAAAGCAAGGGAGAAAATAATCCCTGGAGTGTTTTTATTCGGATCCTCTGTTTAAATCAGCATATGCTACAAAGCAGAAACACATCTACTGCACGAGCCCTCATTGTACTAACCCTTTTCCAAATGCAATTACAGCTGTAAGAAAATACATTTCAGAAATACCAGCCTGCCAGTGCAAACTGCAAAGCGTTTGATTTGCTAATCTGAGCATAGCAGTAAATATAGAAAACAGGCCCAATCCTGTTTACTAAAGAAAACATGGTAATTTTAATGTTCGATTAGTCACACTGATAAGCCCTTCGCAAGAATTACTCATGACAGTCAAGACTGCAGGACCATGCCCAGAAAGCACAAAACGGGCAGCGAAGCCGGGCTGCTCTCTGCGAAGATCCCGTCCTGCCTGCGTAGCTCAAAACGCCCATGTGCAAGACCAGGGTGAAAGGCAGCCTGTTTCCATCTTATTTTTTAATACTGTTTTGAGTCCGTGTCTTAAGGCATTACTATTTCATGTTGAAATAGTGAAATATTCATGTGTCTTGTTTCTCTAATGGTTTCTAAACTGATGAACTGCACGAGAAGAGCAAAACGAAACGGTAAACTTGTGGCAGCCCTCCTTGGTGTCTGGTCATGCATCCTCCGGTTAGTATTTGCTGTGGGGTAAATAATTACTTTCTGGAATAAATTTCTCTGATCTGCCACATCCACTAACGTATTCAGCTCCCGCCGCTGCTCCACTTGTCTGCTTGCTTCCCTTGCAATGGAGCCCTGTGAACTTTTGCTCCCCTTGCAAGTGGCATTTAAAAATGAAGCGTGTGCTTGTTACACTGGAGGGTTTGAAAAATAATGTATTCTGGTAGCTACCGAATGCAGGGGAAGAAACACGCGGAAGAAGCAAGCGCTATTTTAAAATCCCAGCGCTCGGGTCCGGCCCTCCTGCAGCCACAGCCGTTCCCTGAGGTCACTGGGAAAAAGATTTTAGCGGCGGCGCACTTGTCTGGTCCGAAAGAGTCTTGAGTGGGGAAATACGCATTGCATTCCCCCCCGCTGTTGTGAAAGCTCCTTTAATTGCAATGATAAGCAATAATGATGAAGTACTGCTCTCCAAAAATAGGAAACCAATGCCAGCAAATCGGGTAATTAGCAGTTTGCCTCTATGGCGAAGTGTTGTGCAAGAGCGAAATATTCCCATTTCCAGTGTAATGGGAAGCTGCCTACTC